TGTCGTTTTTTAAAATTTCAAATTTGAAAGATTCAAATTTTGTCAAATGACAAGATGACTAAAATAAAAGTTGTAGATATTAACGAGTTGAACAACTTTGGTATTCATCACTTTTTATGTTGAAATCATTTTTGGTGTCAACTTTTGGTTCGAACTTGTCATTTTTTAAAATTTCAAATTTGAAAGGTTCAAATTTTGTCAAATGATAAGATGACCAAAATAAAAGTTGTAGATCTTCATGACCTCTACAACTTTGATGTTTATCAAATTTTCATTTGAGATCATTTGGTGTCTCAAAATTATTTTAGTATTTTTTATTTTAATTTTTTAAAATTTAATTTTTTTCCATTTTTAAAGGTTCGATTTTGTAATTTTAAACTGTTGTAGTTGTTTTAGTTATTGTATATGTAAATATATCTATCAAAAATTAATTATAAAATTTTGTACTGTATTATTTATTATTTACATGTGACATGGACATGGTCTCTTTCCACATCGACACGGGTGGGTTGAATAACTGGAGTCTGGATGGAACCATAGATTTCCAATCTCTTCCTTCCCCCAACCCGCTCAAAACCCTAGCCCAACACCACAGGGTCGCCGACACTCGCCCGGCCGCCGCCACTGCCGCCGCTGGGGACGATGGCGAAGCCTCGGCGCGGCCGCTCCGTGTCTCGCTCCTCCTCGGGCTCTTCCTCCCGCTCGCCGTCCCACTCCGTCTCCTCCGGCTCCGTCTCGTCCCGCTCCCGATCGCGCTCCCGCTCCTTCTCGTCCTCATCCTCGCAGGCCCGGAGCCGCTCCCCTCTTCCGGCTAAGCGCGGGTCCAATTAGAATAAGAAAATAGAAGAAAATAGAATATATATATACATGTACAAAGTTGCTCAAAAAAAACTAACGAGGGATTTAAAATTATGAAAGTAAAAAAAGAAATAGAACTCATCAAAACAAAAATAAATTGGATACAAATACAAATGCTTCAAAAAAATCCCATATATTGAAACGAAAAATAAAAAAAACAAATGGATTTATATACAACAAAAAATTCGGATACAAGCATAAAAAATGTTGGTTTCAAATAAACATAGAAATACTAGGATAAGATGATAACGACAAGCAAGATAGAAAATAGCAAAAAAAAATACAAATGTCTTGCTAACTAGTAAAAGAAAAAGATAAGTTGAATCCAACTACTTCTGGAACAAGCCACCAAGCCAGCTCCAATTTCTACCAAAAAAAAGGTCCAAAAGAAGAGTCCTCATCTGGCCGTCCGTTTAAACGCGGGACGACATCGATCGGCAGCCGAACCACAAAACCACCAAAACCCAACCCCAACCCTTCTCCGCTTCCCCTCCTCGCTTCCTTCCTCCCTGCGCCGCCGCCCCCCTCGAACCCAAAAGGAACCCTAACCCTAGCCGCCTCCGGGAGGCAGCTAGGAGAGAGCTCGGAGCACCAGCCATGGCGGAGCACGACCTCACGGCGCTGATGGCAGCGCAGCTGGACCGGCACCTGGTGTTCCCGCTGCTGGAGTTCCTCCAGGAGCGGCAGCTCTACTCGGAGCCCGAGTTCCTGGAGGCCAAGATCCGCCTCCTCAGCAGCACCAACATGGTCGACTATGCCATGGACATCCACAAGTCCCTCCACGGCACCGACGACGTCCTCGAGGACATGGTCAAGCGCTGCGCCGAGGTCGTCTCCAGGCTCAGGTCGCTCGAGGAGGCCGCCGCCCCACTCGTCGCCTTCCTCCAGAACCCGCAGCTCGAGCAGGAGCTCAGGCCCGACAAACAGTACAGCATCCACATGCTCCAGGAGCGGTACCAGGTCCGTTTTTCTACCCCCTCTGCTTCTGCCTCGTTTTCATTTAGTTGTATTGGTGTAATTCTGTGTTTTGGAGCGCCGTCAGATGTGGTTGTGAAATTAGGAATTTGTGTGTCATTAAACAGCCTGAAACATGTCCGATGATTTCTCGTCGATTGCCGTTTAAAAAATAGGTGTGTGCTGGCTGCAAGGTCATCTGTTTTCATGGCCGAGCTCTTTGGCCACATGAAGGAGAAGACAATGAAATGTATACGGATCCAAGACGTGGAAGCAAGTGTGTTCAAGGCTATGCTCCACTTCATCTACACTGACACCATGCCTGACATTGATAAGGAGGATGCGTTTGTGATCACCCAGAATTTACTTGTAGCAGCTGATAGATATGGTCTAGAGAGACTCAAACTGATTTGTGAGGACAAGCTCTACAACTTTTGTATTGGTCATTTCTTCATATGACAAAGTAGTAATGACATTGTTCACAAATGTGACACATCTCTTATAAGGTTTTATAAACTATATGAGACATTGGTAAGATTAGTGAACAATGTGTGCTAAGAATTTGTCAAATGAAGAAATGACCAAAATAAAGGTTGTAGATATTCATGAGTTGAACAACTTTGGTATTCATCACTTTTTACGTTGAAATCAATTTGGGTCTCAAATTTTGGTTCGAACTTGTCGTTTTTCAAAATTTCAAATTTGAAAGGTTCAAATTTTGTCAAATGACAAGATGACTAAAATAAAAGTTGTAAATATTAATGAGTTGAACAACTTTGGTATTGATCACTTTTTATGTTGAAATCATTTTGGGTCTCAAATTTTGGCTCGAACTTATCATTGTTGAAAATTTCAAATTTGAAAGGTTCAAATTTCGTCAAATGACAAGATAACAAAAATAAAAGTTGTAGTTATTGATGAGTTGAACAACTTTTGTATTCATCACTTTTACATCTAAAATCATTTAGGGTTTTAAAATTTGATTTGAACTTGTCAAATTTCAAATTTTAAATTGGATAAAACATTGTCACATCCAAGTTTGATCAAACTTAAATGTTGAAGCATGATTTTAGAAATTTTTTGATAGAAAACCATCACATTCGGAGTTAGTATGAGGGAGAACAGCTAGTTACAAAGTTTATCCACAGATTAAAAAGAGAAATCACACTGTTCTAGATGATCCTTACATGATCATAGTAAACAGTGTGATTTTTTTTAATCTGTGGGTCAACTTTGTAACTAGTTTTTTTCCTCGTACTAACTCTAAATCTGATGATTTTTTTACTAATATTTTCTAAAATCATGCTCTATCAATTTATTTTGTCGGTTTTGTCAATATATACATATGAAAAGTTTGAGCAATTTAAATTTTGAATTTAAAAAAAATGCAACTTCAGAAAAGATTTTGGTACCCCAAATGATTTCAGCTGAAAAAGTGATAAGTACCAAAGTTGAATAACTCATCAAGATCTACAACTTTTGTATTGGTTATTTCTTCATATAACAAAGTGGTAATGGCATTGTTCACAAATGTGACACATCTCTCATAAGGTTTTATAAACTATATGAGACATGTGTAAGATTAGTGAACAATATGTGCTAAGAATTTGTCAAATAAAGAAATGACCAAAATAAAGGTCATAGATATTCATGAGTCGAACGACTTTGGTATTCATCACTTTTTACGTTGAAAAATCAATTTGGATCTCAAATTTTGGTTCGAACTTGTCGTTTTTTAAAATTTCAAATTTGAAAGATTCAAATTTTGTCAAATGACAAGATGACTAAAATAAAAGTTGTAGATATTAACGAGTTGAACAACTTTGGTATTCATCACTTTTTATGTTGAAATCATTTTTGGTGTCAAATTTTGGTTCGAACTTGTCATTTTTTAAAATTTCAAATTTGAAAGGTTCAAATTTTGTCAAATGACAAGATGACCAAAATAAAAGTTGTAGATCTTCATGACCTCTACAACTTTGATGTTTATCAAATTTTCATTTGAGATCATTTGGTGTCTCAAAATTATTTTAGTATTTTTTATTTTAATTTTTTAAAATTTAATTTTTTCCCATTTTTAAAGGTTCAATTTTGCAATTTTAAACTGTTGTAGTTGTTTTAGTTATTGTATATGTAAATATATCTATAAAAAATTAATTATAAAATTTTGTTCTGTATTATTTATTATTTACATGTGACATGGACATGGTCTCTTTCCACATCGACACGGGTGGGTTGAATAACTGGAGTCTGGATGGAACCATAGATTTCCAATCTCTTCCTTCCCCCAACCCGCTCAAAACCATAGCCCAACACCACAGGGTCGCCGACGCTCGCCCGGCCGCCGCCACTGCCGCCGCTGGGGACGATGGCGAAGCCTCGGCGCGGCTGCTCCGTGTCTCGCTCCTCCTCGGGCTCTTCCTCCCGCTCGCCGTCCCACTCCGTCTCCTCTGGCTCCGTCTCGTCCCGCTCCCGGTCGCGCTCCCCCTCCTTCTCGTCCTCATCCTCGCAGGCCCAGAGCCGCTCCCCTCTTCCGGCTAAGCGCAGGTCCAATTAGAATTAGAAAATAGAAGAAAATAGAATATATATATATACATGTACAAAGTTGCTCAAAAAAAACTAACGAGGGATTTAAAATTATGAAAGTAAAAAAAGAAATAGAACTCATCAAAACAAAAATAAATTGGATACAAATACAAATGCTTCAAAAAAATCTCATATATTGAAACGAAAAATAAAAAAAACAAATGGATTTATATACAACAAAAAATTCAGATACAAGCATAAAAAATGTTGGTTTCAAATAAACATAGAAATACTAGGATAAGATGATAACGACAAGCAAGATAGAAAATAGCAAAAAAAAAAAAATACAAATGTCTTGCTAACTAGTAAAAGAAAAAGATAAGTTGAATCCAACTACTTCTGGAACAAGGCACCAAGCCAGCTCCAATTTCTACCAAAAAAAAAGGTCCAAAAGAAGAGTCCTCATCTGGCCGTCCGTTTAAACGCGGGACGACATCGATCGGCAGCCGAACCACAAAACCACCAAAACCCAACCCCAACCCTTCTCCGCTTCCCCTCCTCGCTTCCTTCCTCCCTGCGCCGCCGCCCCCCTCGAACCCAAAAGGAACCCTAACCCTAGCCGCCTCCGGGAGGCAGCTAGGAGAGAGCTCGGAGCACCAGCCATGGCGGAGCACGACCTCACGGCGCTGATGGCAGCGCAGCTGGACCGGCACCTGGTGTTCCCGCTGCTGGAGTTCCTCCAGGAGCGGCAGCTCTACTCGGAGCCCGAGTTCCTGGAGGCCAAGATCCGCCTCCTCAGCAGCACCAACATGGTCGACTATGCCATGGACATCCACAAGTCCCTCCACGGCACCGACGACGTCCTCGAGGACATGGTCAAGCGCTGCGCCGAGGTCGTCTCCAGGCTCAGGTCGCTCGAGGAGGCCGCCGCCCCACTCGTCGCCTTCCTCCAGAACCCGCAGCTCGAGCAGGAGCTCAGGCCCGACAAACAGTACAGCATCCACATGCTCCAGGAGCGGTACCAGGTCCGTTTTTCTACCCCTCTGCTTCTGCCTCGTTTTCATTTAGTTGTATTGGTGTAATTCTGTGTTTTGGAGCGCCGTCAGATGTGGTTGTGAAATTAGGAGTTTGTGTGTCATTAAACAGCCTGAAACATGTCCGATGATTTCTCGTCGATTGCCGTTTAAAAAATAGGTGTGTGCTGGCTGCAAGGTCATCTGTTTTCATGGCCGAGCTCTTTGGCCACATGAAGGAGAAGACAATGAAATGTATACGGATCCAAGACGTGGAAGCAAGTGTGTTCAAGGCTATGCTCCACTTCATCTACACTGACACCATGCCTGACATTGATAAGGAGGATGCGTTTGTGATCACCCAGAATTTACTTGTAGCAGCTGATAGATATGGTCTAGAGAGACTCAAACTGATTTGTGAGGACAAGCTCTACAACTTTTGTATTGGTCATTTCTTCATATGACAAAGTAGTAATGACATTGTTCACAAATGTGACACATCTCTTATAAGGTTTTATAAACTATATGAGACATTGGTAAGATTAGTGAACAATGTGTGCTAAGAATTTGTCAAATGAAGAAATGACCAAAATAAAGGTTGTAGATATTCATGAGTTGAACAACTTTGGTATTCATCACTTTTTACGTTGAAATCAATTTGGGTCTCAAATTTTGGTTCGAACTTGTCGTTTTTCAAAATTTCAAATTTGAAAGGTTCAAATTTTGTCAAATGACAAGATGACTAAAATAAAAGTTGTAGATATTAATGAGTTGAACAACTTTGGTATTGATCACTTTTTATGTTGAAATCATTTTGGGTCTCAAATTTTGGTTCGAACTTATCATTGTTCAAAATTTCAAATTTGAAAGGTTCAAATTTCGTCAAATGACAAGATAACCAAAATAAAAGTTGTAGGTATTGATGAGTTGAACAACTTTTGTATTCATCACTTTTACATCTAAAATCATTTAGGGTTTTAAAATTTGATTTGAACTTGTCAAATTTCAAATTTTAAATTGGATAAAACATTGTCACATCCAAGTTTGATCAAACTTAAATGCTGAAGCATGATTTTAGAAATTTTTTGATAGAAAACTATCACATTCGGAGTTAGTACGAGGGAGAACAGCTAGTTACAAAGTTTATCCACAGATTAAAAAGAGAAATCACACTGTTGTAGATGATCCTTATATGATCATAGTAAACAGTGTGATTTTTTTAATCTGTGGGTCAACTTTGTAACTAGTTTTTTTCCTCATACTAACTCCAAATCTGATGATTTTTTTACTAATATTTTCTAAAATCATGCTCTATCAATTTATTTTGTCGGTTTTGTCAATATATACATATGAAAAGTTTGAGCAATTTAAATTTTGAATTTAAAAAAAATGCAACTTCAGAAAAGATTTTGGTACCCCAAATGATTTCAGCTGAAAAAAGTGATAAGTACCAAAGTTGAATAACTCATCAAGATCTACAACTTTTGTATTGGTTATTTCTTCATATGACAAAGTGGTAATGGCATTGTTCATAAATGTGACACATCTCTCATAAGGTTTTATAAATTATATGAGACATGTGTAAGATTAGTGAACAATATGTGCTAAGAATTTGTCAAATAAAGAAATGACCAAAATAAAGGTCATAGGTATTCATGAGTCGAACGACTTTGGTATTCATCACTTTTTACGTTGAAATCAATTTGGATCTCAAATTTTGGTTCGAACTTGTCGTTTTTTAAAATTTTAAATTTGAAAGATTCAAATTTTGTCAAATGACAAGATGACTAAAATAAATGCAAGCGGTGGATGATATGCCACAACCCTCATCCCAATGAGAGACGCCACACGCTCTACAGGATTCAACCCCTAATTAAGACCGTCACAGCACGCTTTGCAGAATTTTAGTATTTTTCTAATTTATTTTAAACCTAATATATTTGATGTAGTAAATTATTTTAATACTTATCTATTTATGGATGTAAGTTATTTTATTATAATTTATATAATTTATGATTTTGTCATAACTATTATATGAATAACGATTGAATAACTGATATATTTAATTGTTAATATTTATTTATAATTGTATTTTCTAGCTTTCCTTGTAAATGTTATATACTCACATAGTTTATTCTTTACTTGTTGCAAAATGGCTACTTGTTGCCTACCAATCTAACTTGAATTTCTTTACCTTTACCTATCATTTTATTGAGTATTATCTTCTACACCTAAAAAGACTCCTCTAAAGTAATCATTTATTCGGTGATACCAATAAATCCTATTGATACCCAGTTGCGACTCATTACAAAGTCCTTGTGCGTCCGTTCGATAGGAATGGATACGAAGTCCTGCATTGTTACGAAGTCCTGCGGTAAATAGGAACGTATATACGAGTCCCGATCCGACACTAACTTTCTACGCGTGCAAATAAAAAGAAGACGTATGCAGGCCACTTAGCCTGATCTCTACGGCCCGGCCGCGGTAGTGGATAAGAATCTGCGCACGCGCCGAGGAACTCAGATACCGACGTACATAGGGTACAGGCCTACTACTACTACAACAGCCAAGACATGTAGGAATTTGATTTTTTTTTTTATAAATGAATAAATATTGCTACAGTTAATTCACAACTAGATGACGCCAAACAAGGTCCGCTCAAAAACCAAGCAGTCCCGAAAGCTGGATTCTCGTTGACGTGGCTACTATGGAAATTTCTATGTAATTTCATGGTTCGACTATACTTAAGCCAACTTCTCTAGACTAAAAAATATGAACCATTATTATCTGCAACACTCATATCCCCACTCGTCCCTCCATCAAAAACGTGTCCTACGTGTATGTTATTCTAAGTCGTAAGCCACTGCGTCGTCGTAGGTGTGGCAAAAATTTGTGACCCCGTGTAACGCACGGGCATATATCTAGTTCATTATAATTTAGTTTACTTAGATATTGAAGATTTTTAGAAGAGTACTTAATTTTTATTTCACTTTGGTAATCGATAAACTTAGTACTAAAATTTTGTTGATTAATGTTGAATTTAACAATATATGCACTTTGAGTTGAATTGAGTAAATATCCAAATTGAAATCTAAATTCGAGACATCTGCTTTGTATTCGTATTCAAAAATATCCATATACGCATTCAATTTTGAATTAAAATATGATAAGAGCATGTACAATAATGGACTTATAACCAAGCTAGTGCTGATGTGGAGGAAAAAAGGGAGGAGAGAGATGAGAGCATGGCTCCTATGCAAGCACCAAGCTGGACACGAATGCATGTGCATTAGTCGACCCAAGTAGTAAGGGTTGTGAGGAGGAATAGAAGAGATAAACTTTTTTAAGACAAATAAGAGACACTTATTGTATAACTTGGCTATTGTAATTTGTATTATAGCTAAGAAGCTTAGCTCTATTATTGACCTTGGTCAGAAAGGTGATATCCAGATCCAATTTCTCGCGTATCTGATCCGTTTCCCATCCCCAAGATTTGGTATAATTGCGGTTTTTTGCTTACACACATGGGACTGTACATTAGGTGCATTCAAGGTGTCAACACGTCTGGTGGGTGGAATGCTGTACACACACGGCACTGTACGTCGTCTTCAGCTCCACCAGTCTTCACGGGGCCTGAGATTACTCTGGCGTCGCCTCGATCACCCCTGAAATTAATACCGCCGGCAATTAGTTTTCCCGTGGCCGGTGGCCCCTCGTAAACCGTAAAGTCATCATGATGTAGCTCGTCTCCTCGGTGGTCGCGGTGCCACGCTGCCTTTGACCGTTCGTTTACCTCGTTATGAGCTGTGAGATTGCACACGATAAAAGCTTCTCGTCTTTCCTCCATTTTTCATCGCGGTCACCAACTTGGCGCAGAATCGTCCTTCATCCTGCGTGCTACTCCAGCATCTAGAACTAGCTAGTAGCCTAGTACTCCTACCACGCTCATCTCATTCTTCACAGATATGTGCACCACTGCAGCGTCTGCCGTCTGCATCAGCAGTGATGGCGAGGCGCTAACCACGTCGGCAATCTTCGCGGAGGCTGTGTCTGGATCGCATGTGCTCCTGATCAAGGGGTTCTCCCGGACCAAGGGAAACGGCAACGGCAAGTTCTTCAGATCCAGCTCATTCACTGTGGGTGGCCAGCGCTGGTATATGAAATTCTACCCCGATGGTGATCGATCCGAAAGTGCCGATTGGATATCGCTCTATGTGCAGCTCGATGATAGCGACGATGTGGAAGTGAAGGCTCGACTCAAATTCAGCGTACTTGACGACATGGGTGGATCCGTGCCGACGTTTAGTCGGGAATCCTCCTCTTTGGATATCTTCTGCTCCAAACATCAATCCTGTGGTTTCACCAAATTCGTTGCAAGGAAGGACCTGGAGGAATCGTCTTAAAGTAAGGTGCGATCTCACCGTCTCAAAGAACATCCGAGCAGAGGCCCACCACACAGTTTGTCCTCCGTCCAACATGCACCAGCATTTTGGCTGGCTCCTCTCAGACGCAGTGGGGGCCGACGTCACATTTGAGGTTGCTGGAGAGGTGTTCGCCGCACACAGGTACGTGCTGGCTGTTTGTTTTATTTTGTTGTATGTTAGTTCTTCTCTACTAATACATGTCCGAAGATTTCTCGTCGATTGCCGTTTAAAAAATAGGTGTGTGCTGGCTGCAAGGTCATCGGTTTTCATGGCCGAGCTCTTTGGCCACATGAAGGAGAAGACAATGAAATGTATACGGATCCAAGACGTGGAAGCAAGTGTGTTCAAGGCTATGCTCCACTTCATGTACACTGACACCATGCCTGACATTGATAAGGAGGATGCGTTTGTGATCACCCAGAATTTACTTGTAGCAGCTGATAAATATGGTCTAGAGAGACTCAAACTGATTTGTGAGGGCAAGCTCTGCGAGTGCATGGACACAAGCACTGTGGCAGCTACACTGGAGCTCGCTGGGCGCCATGGTTGCCATGGGCTCAAGAAGGCATGTTTTGAGTTTCTGAAGTTGCCTAACCATCTGAAGACAGTCATAGCGACTTTGGGCTTTGATCATCTAATGACTACTTGCCCATCTCTTATCAAGGAGCTGCTGGCCAAGGTCGCTACCTGTCCATGACGTCTTCACATTTGACTGCGTATGTTTAGTTTTCATTCAGGGCAAAGCAATGCACTATCTAATGTGGAGTAGTAATGTATGGCTGAAAGTGTGGTTTGAGTTACTTGATAACTGATGAGATTTGTTTATTCTGTGTTTTTTATCACTGCATATTAGAATTTGCCGATATAATCATGTTCCAGTAGCATCGCAGCAGCA